TGACTACAAGACATAGAAAAATAAAACATGAACTGAGCTGGGAATGTTCCGTGTTGCTTAGGATTCGTGTTGTTGTAAGTTGATGTTGGCTGATGGAAGAGAGAAGACTTCAATGATCTTACTCAGGTATGAGCTCATGGATGAGAATACCAACTTCGTGACAGGCAAAAAGTGACCCACCTGTGCAATACTGGCATGAATGAGGTGAGGGTCATTAACCAACTACTCTGATACTCTGATTCGGCTTGTGGTGCACTCCTCAATAGGGAATCCATACATGGTACTGTAATTCCAGCCCAAAGTCCAGGTCTGGTGACGTCATGGCTACAAAGGGGGAACTTACTAGACTTGTGTAGCTGAATGATATAATTTTAGATTGCCTTCTAAATATTTATGTTTATACCCATGGACCCATAAAACTCACAGAAACCTGTTTGTCATAGCTAGGTTTCTATTGCTTGATAAGCATAATGACCAAATGCAGCTTGAGAAAGACAGGACTTATTTCGTCTTGAATCTTACAAACCACTACTAAGAGGCTCAAGGAACCAAGAGGCAGGAACTAAAATGGAGACTCTAGGGGAACACTGCTTATTGGTTTATTTCTTACGGCTTGTTCAGCTGGCTTTATTATATATAACCAGCACCACTTGCTCACAAGCGGTCCCATCCATGGTGCACTGGGACTTCCCACATCAATCTTTAATCAGGAAAATGCTTCACAGAATTTTCTAGAGACAATTTCATGGAGATATGTTCTCAACTGAGGTTCCTCTTTGCAGATAACTCTAGCTTATGTCAAGCTGAATCAAACCAACATAAACAAACAAAAACAAACAAAAAACATTACAATAGCAAAGTCAAGAAAGCGACAACAAAAAAAACCCCACATAGACCTATTAAAAAGACGTAAATGTTCTTTAAAATCTTTCACTAAAATCTGCGTTAGTGGAGTGGCAAGAAGGACCTGTGCTGTTAAGTGCTTAGTACACCTGATGGGCTTATTTCAATATCCAGGCCCCACATGGTGGAAGGAGGGAGCGAACTAAAGCAAATTGTCCTCTTTCTTCGGCATATGCGCCGCGAACCACACATGTGTTTGTATGCTCATAAATAGTGAGATAGCCACCCAGCCTGCATCTGTAGCGCTGACCATGCCCTATTGGGCGTGGTCAAAGTGAGGATGGGGAGTGAGTTTAGGTCTGGGATCTGGCAAGTGGCTCTCTTGCCTTTGGTCGGTTCACAGGGAGCAGCCTCTGTGGATCCTTAGACCGGGAACCTGTGGCGGCCATCAACCTCTTGTGTAAGTGACTTCTCTCTGAAATAAATTGTATTTAGTATCTGAACCTAGTCCTGCGAATCCTTATCCGTGCCTCCTCCACACTCATACACATATGAGTGCACTTATGCATACACACACACAGACACACACACACAATAATAAATACAATAATAATTAAAACTTTGAAAAAGCATAACTGTATTATGTAAAACAGTCCCTGTAGTGAGATATCCACCCCGCCCATACCTGTATCACTGACCACGCCCAAAAAATTAATTAACATGTTTGCTAATAAATGTCTCAAATTCCTAGAATTCAGTTTTGCATGAAGGTTGTAAATAAATTATTTTAATTAATTAATTATTAATGGAAAAGTTAGCCTAAGGTTTTGAATAAAGGTTTTGTCTTCTGGCAGTTGACAAGTGCAGAGTATATAAGGTGAAATCAAGTTAGACTCTCACATGTTTGTGTAACCTCTCTCAGGTCAGTGAAACAGGGTTTACCAAATCACTATTCCAGACGCTTAGTTGTATTCCAATAAATTGAAAAGGTACATGTGTTTATTAAGAACTGCTTATTTAAGAGATAACCACATAAGACAAACCAAGTGTTTGGCAGCTTTCAGTACATTTGGTTACTGAAATCAAGTGCTTGAAACATCAAGATCATTTCTTTTTTTCAGGAAAATACAAATTCCTACGATGTTGGCAACCTACCCATTTCAGTGCTCCTCACATCCAGGCTGGAGTTATTACTTTGTAATTGCATTTGGTTTATTATGATGCTTATTAAGACTTGACTTAAGCTTCAGTAAATTTCTCATTGGAGAAACTGAATTTAAAGAGAAGGGTAGGTTTTTGGGAAACACTACTTTCACAGCTTGATAGTGAACCAGACCTTTGCCTGCATCATCCACACATAAAACTTTGGAATTTCATCCTACTGTTTTTACCTCCTACACTTTTTTCTGTTTTTCAAATGACTCCCCTCCCTCCCTTCACTCTTGCTGTTTTTCTTCTTACTGCTTGTTCCGTTTAACGGACTTGTTAACATGTAGTAGTGAGTGCAGTGCAAAGCTCCAAAGCAAACAGGTTACAGAAGAATTGGGATGAAAGGCAAGGGAATTCACATTTCCTGCCAGGTCTCTGATGGATTTCAACAGCAGCTGGAGTAACCAGCCAGCTCTTCTACAAGCCACTCTGAGGCCACCACCCTGTTCATCTCCATACAAGCATAGCTGGAAATTGTTAAGAAATGACCAAGTATTTAAAAAAAACACACTAGTCTTTGAACAGCATCAAAATAAGTTTCTTTTCTTTGTAAAAACCATTTATCCCACTCACTATTTTCCTCTTGACCTAAAGATGGCCACTCCTAAGGCCTGATTTAGAAACACCTTCAGCCTTCAACATTAGGGAAAATTGCAATAAAAACATCATCTAAGAAAAAATTGCCATTTCCAGACACTATTACATTGTAAAAGGAATTATTCTGGGTAGTAATGTGGGAAGTCCTTCTGTATGCTCAAATATGTGTAACTTTTATTGGTTGGTGAATAAAGTTGCTTTGGCCTCTGGCAGAGCAGAATATAGCTAAGCAGGAAAGCCAAACTAAAATACAGGGAAAAGGAAAGTCTAGTCAAGTGAGATGCCATCCAGCCACCCAAGGAACAGCATGCCAATGCCCCATGGCCACGTGACAACCCTTAGATTAATAGAAATGTGTTAATTTAACTGTAAGAACTAGCTGATTCATCGGCTAAACAATTACAATTAATATTAAGCCTCTAAGTGATTATTTATATGGGAGGGCAGGACTGGCCAGTGGGACAGGAATGTTCCAACTATAGAGTGGTATTATTTCATCTTGCTTGTCTCATTAGAAAGATTAAATTTTGATCCTCATGAAGTAATAACACTCCTTTCCTATGCTTGGTGCTTAACAAAAGAGTTTTTATATTATGAAGATATCACAGATATACATTTAGAAAATTAGTTGCTTTTTTAATAGATTAATTGGATTAATACTTTATACCATTGACCTGGGTAGATGTTGGTAATATATAAATAAACAAACCAGGGAATAATCTTGGCTTCAGTATGTATATGTGTTACCTAAGGAGATTAACAATGACTATGATAGCTGTTGAACAATATTAAAGGCTGGAAACAAAAAATACAGTGGGGAATCTAAAGTCTTCAGAAAGAGAAGTAAGTCATAATTTTAAAAATTACACTAGAACAGCAAAATCAGGCATCATTAAAACAAAGACCTAAAATAGAAAATGTTTCAAAAAGTATTCTTCCTAAACACATGTTCTCTGAAAAGGTTGGTAAGAATGAGCTATTGCAAGTAATTCTGATAGGACTCAAGTCCATGTTTTCAAAAAAAATTTACCTTCTTGGATGTAGAGACCATGGGGTGAGCTGATGCTCAATGGGAGCGTGTATTCTCAAATAGTTCAGAACGTGGCCTGTCACCTCACCTTCTCGCAGACAGAAGAGAATTCTGGGGGTCCCAGGATGGTCCCAGTACATATTTTACATTTTCTTCTTTCTGAGAAAGCATTGTTTTTAATCACTATTTTCCCAAGTGCTTCGTAGATCTAGTGTGTGTGTGTGTGTGTGTGTGTGTGTGTGTGTGTGTCTGTGTCTGTGTGTCTCTTTGTGTCTGTGACTATCTGTGTGTGTCATGTGTGCTTGTGTATTTTGCATGTGCATGCATGTGCATATGCTGGCCAGCGGTTGATGCTGAATATCTTTCTCATAGACATCCACCTTGGCTTCTAAGATAAGATTTCTCACTGGACTGACTGGAGTGCACAAGTTGGTTGTACTGGATAACAAACAAGGTCCAGGGATTTGTCTGTCACTGCCTCCAGACCCCCCAGTGTGGAGGTTTACAAACCCATTCTTCCTGCTTAGCTTTTTCTTGGGTGTTTGTGATCAGAACTCTGTCTCTTATGCTTAGATGCTTACAAAGCAAGCACCTTACTGACTGGGCCGTCTTTCATCCTTCTATTTATTTTTTTAACTGACATTTTAAGTATTGTCCATATCAATAGACTTTTATGTAATATTTGATGCAAGTTTTTTTTTTTTTGGTTTTTACGAGACAGGCTTTCTCTGTATTGTTTTGGAGGCCATCGGTCCAGCCCGGCCTCAGACTCACAGAGATCCGCCTGCCTCTGCCTCCCGAGTGCTGGGATTAAAGGCGTGCGCTACCACCGCCCGCCCGGCTAGGTACGAATTCTTAATAAGATTATAGGTGCCTGTCATTTCAAACAACTACCATGTTTCCATGGTGACAACATTTTTGATAAATATAAACTACATAATTGAATCTACTCTTAACTGAAGGTTTAATAACATAGCTAAATGTTTTTTTACTTGTCACTTTGCCTCATTTCCTTTATCTGTGTTATTTTTTGTTATTTTATCGAGTGATAAAACATATTACATAAGATAAAAAAGAAAATTTTTCTTTCAATATGAACAATATTCTCTTTCATTTGGAATAACAATTTGTCTACCTATATCCAAGTCTCAAACAGTCTAATTCCTTTTAATAAGTAACTAAAGTTTCAAATTCCTATGTGGATTTTCTTCTCTCTAAGCCTGAATGACTACTACATGAAAATGATGCAGGAATTCAAACTAATGTCTTATAAACATCAAAGTCCACTCTATAATCCATGATATCAAGGATGTGTTCCACAGACCTTAATGCACATTGCTTTATTTATTCCATGAAAATCAGGAGCAATCACGAGATCCTTCTCTTGATGTCTTACAAATGGAGATCATAAACTTGTGAATTTTTCAGTGTTAAATCCTATAAAGAGGGAAGGAGAGTTTTTGAAGTACAATCTGTGAATTTTATGTTTCTCCACTTAACCTCACCAAGAAACTCTGTGCCCAGTATACTTGCAGATATCCTATAAACTAGTTTTCTGTAGAGAACACTTTGAAGACATTACTTGAATTCCAAATCCAATCAACTCTCCATTTCACTACAGATACCCTTAAAAAGTTATGATTAAACTGTATTTAAAACAGCATATAAAGTCAGGCTACCAAACTTTAATCTTATTTCTTTCTGGAGCTTTAGGTGAAGGACACAGTTAAAAGGATTAATTCAGAAATGCCCATATTGAAGTATAGTTAGCTATTTTTATCCCAAACATATTAAATTCTCTAATTTGGTTCAGAAGTCACTGGTTCTTGTATATTTAATTTGTGAAGAGTTTCTTTTTAATCTATCTTCTCAATGTTACATCCCTGTTTCCTTAAGCATTAAAACCACATGTTGTGGCTGGCAGCCAGCGCTAATGTGCATCTTTACAAATACATAAAAGATGGCAAGGAGACCACAGTAAATAAATGCTGCAATCTAATAGCAAGTTCATAGGGAAACGTGAGCACTCATGCCTCACTCACAGAATCTCCATGGCCAAACGTTACATTCATCCAGAATTACTCACGTTGTGGTATGCCCAGCCTTCAAATTATTACTGTTGCTACTTCATAACTGTAGTTCTGCTATTAGGACTTGTAAATGTGTTTTATGATGATCTCAGGATATCCCTGTGAAGGGGTCAATCAATCTTTCAGAGGGCTGAGAAGCACTGTTTTAGAGCAACTGACACATATTCCTTCCTTTTGATCGTCTTCTGTTTCTGGTAAGCAGTTTATCAACTAGGCTAGGGCAAGTTTTCAAAGTTAGTGTCTTGTTACTAATTTCCTGGAAACAAAGGTTGTTTTAATTTAAATGTTGAGAAGTAAAGTTTTTTGATACTAGTCACAAAAATATACTCAGACATGAAACTCACCCACATCCTGACAACAAAACTCAGAGAAAATAAAACTTAAAAATGGTTAAGTGTGGTCACCAAATCCCTGCTGTGGAGCTTCACAGACAATCGCCAAAGTGCTGGTTCATTTTGAAAATAGTAACAGCATGTTCTTTTTTTTTTATTCTTTGATTGTTGTTTTGTTTGATTTGTTTTAATCTCTTCTCAGTTTAACTCTGTACATAGTGTCACAGCTCATTCGGGTATCTTCAGTTGTGACAGCCCATACTTCGTTTCTCCACATTAAAACCTGCAAGATAAAGTTGCCTGCTGTACATGCTCTTGTGTGTTTTTGGTTGGGGTTCTAATTTGTGTGTCTTTTTCCTTCTGAGCAAGTATTTACCGAGTGCTTTCACCGAACTAAGTACTTAGCTTGGGTTGTTTTATTCATCCTAGCAATGCTCTGAAGTGGGAACTCATTATGGGGAGCATGAAGAGCTGAGGTGTCACGGAATCCGTCCTCAGTGGCAGAACCAAGGCTGACCAGGCGGCAATCCAGAATCTTCTTCTTCCCACTGCTCTCAAGATCGTGTTCAGTCTTAATCCTGCTCATTCCTTTCCTCTCAGTTGTTCCCTGGATGCCCAAGGAGCCCTCACTCACAGCGGTGTCGATTCCCCCACTGCCGGTCAGTCTTGTTGATTCCAGGGTTTAAGCTGCTGCTGGGGCTGTTGCAGCCACCACAGCAGCCGTCACTGCCTGAGCCTGCAATGTGGAAAGAATGCTTTCCCTCTGAGTAAGTCCAGGTCTGTACTTAAGACTGCCCACATTCCCCACATGTCCCTCTGAGTAATGCGGCGTCTTCCATTTCACAATCACCACTCTTACCCGGGGGAGAAAAAAAGTGAAGCAAATTTAAAAAACAACAAATAGCATGACCAACCCGCTGGTCATCATCAACTTCTGAAAGGGAACATCATAAAGGTAACTGTTTTTCAGCACTTGGCATGAGCCACCATTGTATGCAGTCTTCACAGGTTACACGGACACACGCTGACACACAAGGCTTTTACACGGGCACTCAAAATCAGAACCGAAGTCCTTAGGATCACACATCAAGCCCTTTACCCGATGGTTAGCCCTGAAAATGTACATAAAGTAACAATATAAGGACAGGTCAGGTTATATTTGAGAAAAATACATATGTATGTGCATATACATATATGCGTGAAATTGAATTTGAAAGAGAAAAGAGTGTTACATGGGAGGGTTTGGAGGAAGGAAAAACAAAGGAGAAATTATGCAATTATTTAACAGTCTTAAAATTAAAGAGATACTTTTTAAATGCAAAATAAAACTTTTTAAATGTTCACTAATAAGCCACTGAAATCATCCTAAGAAATGACTGGTTGACTGCAAAACGCATTCAAAGCTAAAAAAAATCATTAGTCACCTATATAAAGAACTACTGCCCTGAAGTTATTTCAAAGCTTACAGAATCTGTGTTCCTTAGACAAATTTAACTGATCTTCCTGAGAAGTAAGCTGGATACTTTTAATATGGTCAAGCCAAAACTTGACAATTAACCTTCCTGATTCAGCATTTTCCACTTTTTCAAATTCATTGACGTATTTTCTTACTTGGGCTTTGAGTTATCATCATCATCATCATCATACAGGAAAAATAATTGACTTCATTTTTAAAAATCCTTTCCAAATTTATCAACCTTTTACCTATTTTCTTATAAGGAGCTTATAAATTAAATACCACATTACCTCACAATTTCAGAGATGCTTAACCTGTCATTCTTTGTTGTTAAAAATAGCAATTTTTCATGAGTTCATATAAAACTGGATCAAATGGAATGATTCAAGTTATGCTCTAGTAGACCACAACTAGGGGTGTGAGATTAGAAATGTGTCATTCTTTATATGACAGTTAAGAGAGATGATAGGTACCAAATTTTTTCAGTAGTCTTTTTGTTTTTTTAGTTTGATGACTGAGTTTACAAAGCAGTCCTAGCATTCTTACTCATTTCTTATTTTAAAACAATTGCAATGGGGACTGGAAAGATGATCCAACTTCAGAGCACTTGGTGCTCTTGCCCAGTAACTGGGTTTTTCCCAGGACACATATGGTAGTTCAGAACGACCTGAAACACCATTTCCAGGTGATCTGACACCTCTATCCTGCCTTCTTGAGCACCAGACACACCTGTAGTACACTTCCATGCACACAGGCCAGACGCTAACACCTACTAAATAAAATAAGTCCTTAAAAAATTAAATATCTGCAATCAATTTTCACCCCCTAGACGATAAACAGTGTTTTTATTGATTCATTGTTAATTTGTTATAAAGAACCAGTGACAGTGGAACAGACGTCCTTTAGTAGCATTATTTGTAGTAGCCAGAAACTGGAATCAGCCTAGATACCCCTCAACTGAATAGTGGATAAAGAAAATGTGGTACATTTACACAATGGAGTACTACTGAGAAAAAAACAATGGAATCTTGAAATTTGCAGGCAAATGATGGCACTAGAAGAAACCATTCTGAGTGAGGTAACATAGTCACAAAAAGACAAACATGGTATGCAGTCACTCATGTATGGATTTTAGACATGGATCAGGGGAGTGCCAGTCTGCAATCCCACTGACAGAGAGTCTAGGAAACAGGAAAGAACCTAAGAGAAATATTCATGGTACCCCAGAGCAGAGGAATAAGGCAAGATCTCCTGAACAGGTTGGGAGCACAGCTAGGGAGGGGGCTAGGTAGGTGAATAGGAGCTGGGAAAAAGAGAGGGGGAGGAGAGTAGAAGAGAGTAGGTCATGGGGGAGCAAGAAGGTTGAGTTGAGGCAAGAATAGGGGAGAACAGGATGAGAAATACCATAATAGAGGGAGTCATTATAGATTAGAAGAGAGATCTGGCACCAGTGAGACATCTAGTGATCTACAAGGATGACACCAACTGGAAAACTATGTCTGGAGAGACTACCTTAAATGCCCTTCCCTGATAATGAACTTGATGTCTACACTATATGCCATCCTAGAACCTTCATCCAGTGACTGCTGGAAGCAAAGTCAAACACCCACAGCTAAACACTGAACTGAACCCCTGGAACCCAGTGACAGAGAGAGAGGAGTGATGAGCAAAGGGATAAAGAATGGGCTGGCAAAACCAGCAGAAACAGCTGACCTGAACAAGGGGGAGCTCTTGGACCCCAGACCGACAGCTGGGAGGCCATCATGGGACTGATCCAGACCCCTTGAATGTGGGAGTCAGTGAAGAGGCCTGGGCAACCTATGGGGCATTGGGCAGTAGATCAGTATTCATCCCTGGCATACAAGTGGACTTTGTGCTCTCTCAGACTAGACTGATGGGGGAGGGTCTTGACCCTGCCCTGAATGAAATGGCAGACTCTGGATATTCCCTATGTGGAAGGGAGTAGGGATAGGGTGGGAGACTAGAGGGGGTGGGGAGTGCGGGAGGAGGGGAGGGAGGGGGAGCAGGGGTTGACATGTGAAGCAAGCTCTTTTCTTAAAAAATGTAATAAAATATAATGTGTAAAGGAGAAGCTTTTTCCTTGTGAGGAGCCGTCCCGCCAGCCTGGTTCTAGAGCCGCATCAGTTCCAAATAAACACACAGGAGGCTATATTAATTATAAAGCTGTTGGCCTTGCTTGTTTCTTACTAGCTAGCTCTGACTTAAGTAATTACCCCATAATTGTTAATCTCAGTATGTTTCTTACCGGAGAATAGTTCCAGGCTTCCTACCCCATGGCGGTTACATGTCGAACTCTCTGTGTTTCTCCTTCCCAGAATCCTCCTGGACTCCTAGTCCCACCTATCTAGATTCCTATTGGCTCAACAGTACTTTATTAACAAATGTGTGGGGAGCCGCCCCCACATTCTCCGTTACAAGATGGCGTCGACATCCGTTGTCAGTTGGAGTAAACAACCTTGGTGCGCACGTGCCTGCTACTTTTCTATCCCTTACTCTCTGCCTCTCCCGTGGCGTCATATGGGCTGACGAGCAGGAGCCAGTCAGGAGATGACACGTCCGAGGCGGGGACTGCTGAGCTATATAAGGGTTGGGCTTTTCGCTCCCTGGGTCTCTGCTCTGTAAGCTTATGCTCTCCCTCTCAAGACGCATTAAAGCTGTTCTGCAGAAGGATCCTAAGTGTGCCGCGTCGTTCTTGCTGGCGAGACGGTAGCGCGGGACACAAATGTACAGGACTTCCCCCCATCAATAATGAAAAAAAAAGAACCAGTGATAGATATGTAGATGGTAAATAGATGGTTAATAAATGACAGATGGTAGATGAGATAGATAGATGATAGATACATAGATAGGTGATAGATAGACAGACAGATGAAATAGATAGATAGATAGATGATAAATAGATGAGATAGATAGGTAGATAGATAGATAGATAGAAGATAGATAGATAGATGATAGATAGATACATTTTCATTATAGAGGTCCTCAACCTATAGTTCAAGACCCCAATGGTGATCAAATGGGACTTTTGCAAGGGCTCTGTGTATCAGATACTTACATTACAATTTATAACAGTAACAGGACTACAGTTACGAAGTAGTAAAGAAATCATTTTATGGTTGGGGGTCACCACAACACTGAGGAACTGCATTAAAGGGTGGTAACATGAGGAAGACTGAGAACCACTGATTTAGACAAACTTAAGAATGAAAATGAGGTACAGAAAAATAGCTCAGTGGTTAAAAGTACTGGCTGCTCTTGTATAGCACCTGGTTCATCCCCTAAAACCACATGGCTGCTCACAACTAGAAATAACTCCGGTTCCAGATGATTCAACACCTTCTTCTGACCTCTCCAGACATTTCATATACATGTGGAACATGCAAATACCCAGGAAAGATACTCTCACACATAAATGGCAGTAAGTAAGTCTTTTTGGAAGAGAACTAAAAGCTCATATTAAAAATCAAATACATTTGTTATGGTTGCCGGCAGGAGTCCAAGTGAAGTTAACACACTAACAACCTCTGTTTCTGACTGCAATTTAAAGACTTGTTATACCTCCTTTAGTGACCACTTGACCAAGCTGTTGTGAAATGGTATTAGGTACCAAGCTCATGCGACAAATTATTGAGAAAATAGAACAAGTTTGCACTATAAAAATGTTTCAGTGGCTAAGAACATTTCCACCTCCTCCAGAAGACTTGAGTTTTGTTCCTAACATTCACATCCGGCTTCTCCCAGCCACGTGTAACTCCAGATGCGGGGATTAGGGCCCTCTGATGTCTTGAGATGTCTGCATCCACACTAATGTATGCACACACAGAAACACTCATATCTACATACAATTAAAAATAAGTAAAACAACTGTTTAAAGAGAAATAGAAAAAGTAGCATGAAAACAGCAGTGTGATCATTCTGCATGGGGGAAGGGCTGTGGTCTTTTTCTGCTCTGTCGCTGGTATTGATTAACTGGAGAGAGCAAATCCTGCAGTTCAAGAACTTGCATCCTACTGCCTACTAATGAGAAGCCAATGGAGGGTTACCTCACTGCTCTACAAACTCTGAAATATGGAACTAAAATGTAGGAGATCAGAATCAAATGAACAAATTGAATACATTGTAGGGATTTCATGATTTCCAAATCTAACTCATAGATGACAGGACATAAAAAGAACAACTCATTGCATGTGCTTTAGTTACTACTTATTAATGTAATCAGTATGTCAGTATGCATGAAATGTATCTAGGATGTGTCAAGACTACCATGTTTT